AAGGTTTCCTGGAACCCAGGATGGCCAGACTTCATCTTTCATACTTTGGACATACTTCAGACCAGTCCCTGGAGAAGGATATTATGTTTAGTAAAATGGAGGATCAGAGAAAAAGAGGATGACCCCTAACGAGATGGCTGGCACAATGGCAGCAGTGACTGTGAGGTTAGTGCAGAACCAGGCAGTGTTTTGTTCTGTTGGGCATAGGGTTGCTATGAGTCAGTACCGACTCAATGGCACCTAACAACAACAACAACAACTAACATATTATGTGTTAACACAAATAATGTATTTTAATGGTGAACATTTCCCTCCGTAAAATGTAGTGCGATGAATGGCATTATTATAAACTTTTACAAATGTCTTTACTTTAAGACAGTTGGATTCCTATATCTGCTTCTAAATTTAAACTGTTGCAGTATGTTTAATTGAAGTATGTTAAGACAATCTATGCTATATACATATGCAGTTAGAAAGATGATTATTTTAATAACCTTTTAAGATAACTGTGGATATTCTTCTCTGATACTACACCAAAACTAGACAAATTGGTAGTTTCTTAAAGCTTATTTCAAATGGAATCTGAATCAGAATGCTTCATATTCATTTAAATAATGATCTAATGGTCTATTTTCTATTTTATTTGGATATTTTACCCAGGGCTAATTTTGTATCATCCATTATTACCCATTTAAAACTATTGGACCATTGGGTTATATAAATCTTCTCAATATTAACACATTTCATTATATAATTTTTTTTAAGTTATATTTTCAGTACAACCCCCAAATCATCAAAATTTTATTAATTATCTAAGAAGCTTTTAAGCTCCCAGTGGTAGTTTTAAATTTTCCAAAATTCTAATCTTTTACTTGAAAGTTCAAATTGTATCATTTACAATGAATACTATCTGTTGTTTTCTTTAAGTGCAAGGTTCATTTCATTCATTTTTTAAAAAAATAATAAGTCTCAAATATTTAAGGCAAATTAATCTGTCAAATATTGTTTTGAGTAAAACTGATATTTCTTGGGGAAAAAAAAAGGTTGCTAGCTTGTTCCGCTTAAAAGTCAATCATATAATTGTTTTTTTTTCTCAAGACAATCATCTCAAATTGGTTATGCAACGGAACTTTATGTATTTATATATATTTCTCATTTTGGTACATAAAATATTTTTGAAATGTGCATGACAGGGTTCATACTTGATAAAACGTACAATTTTTACTTCATTGTTGTCAAGTGCCTTTAAGTAGGTTCCAACACATAGCCATCACATGTAAGGTCTGAGGAACAGCTAGTAAGTTTGAAGCACTGACCTTGCAGTTAGCAGTCCAGTGTTTATCCTCCAGTACAGCACCAGTACTCCATTGCTTCATTGTTGTTAAATGTATTTGAGTCAATTCTGATCCATTGTGAGCCAGTATAGGGTTTCCTAGGAGCAGCTAGTGAACTTGAACTGCTGACCTTGTGATTCACACCGACTTTGCAGCCCAGCACATTAATCCATAGTGCCAAAGCTGTAAATCTTCATGGGAGCAGAATGCCTTATCTTTCTCTCTGGGAAGCGGTTGGTGGATTTGAACTGCTGACCTTGAGGTTAACAGTCAAGTGCTTATCCTACAGATGCACCAATGCTCCACACATATAACCATAAAAGTCAATTTATATTATAGCTAGAGTTTTATATTCTGCTTTTGAAAAAAAACATACAAGCAATTTTCTTTTAGGTTTTCATCTGGTTTTCAGAACAAATGATAGTGGTATGACACACTAGGTCTCTAGTGTGTTACAGGCATGTGAAAGATAGTAAATAAGGAAGATTGCAGAGGAACTGATGCATTTGAGTCTATATCCAGACTCTAGTGACCCTGTATAAGGTTTCAAAGGAGTGGTTGGTGAGTTTTAGTCACTGACTGGCCTTGAGGTTAGCAGTCCAGGGCTTATCCTACAGTGTCAAACGAGGACTTCACCTAACTACACCTTTATGTATTTCACTACTCCTATTACTTAGGTCCTTGGTTGAGCCCACCAGTCACTCTGTTGGAGAAAGATGAGGCTTTCTGCTACCGCAAAGATTTAAAGCTTCAGAAACCCTATACAGGGTCAATAAGAGTCAGAGCTGACTCAGTAGCAATTAAAACCAACAATGTCATTTGACATTCATATTGTTTCCAATGTTTTGCTCTTATAAATAATACTGTTTTATAAAACTTCATTGCACACAAATCTTTGCTTCAGTTTGCCTTAGAATTTCTGAGACATAATCATTATTATTACTGTTGTATGCTATCAACTTGATTTGACTCCTCGGGACTCTATAGGACAGAGTAGAACTGCCCCAGAGGGGTTCCTTGGCTGTAATCTTTATGGTATCAGATGGCCAAGTCTTTCCTCTCACAGCACAGCTGGTGATTTTCAACCACTGACCTTTAGGTTAGCAGCTGAGCTCCTAACCATTATACTACCAGAACTCCTTAATGATATGGTCAAAGGATGTGAAAAAAGCTTTAAAGCCATTGCTATATTCTGCTAAATTACCCTCCAGACATGCTTTCTTTGAACAAATTGTATCAGTCTGGAAGTAATAGTATTTCTAAGTCATTAGGAGAAAGATAAGAGTTTTCAGTTTTATGGTAATGTATTTTCACTAGGGCATGTTAGCACGACTTCTGGTTTGTTGTGCTAATGCTGCTAATTTGGTGAATGCATTGTTTTCAATGACAATCAATAAGAAATATCTAAAGTCATTTGTATTTAAGTGGGACAAAAAATAGTATAGTCTTACCACAGGACTACTTACGTATTTGCTGTCACTCATAATATCTAAATAGACTTGGGCTTTCTGAGTATTCTGTTGATGACATCATATTAATCAAACCATTTGAGCAAGAAGTGGAAGATATTCTGGATACCTTGAAAAATGGCATGTATTTCAAAGGTGAGAAATAAACTCTACAAACATTCAGAGGCTGACCATATTTGTGCAATATGGCAGTTCAGTGGTCCAGGCCCTACCAGAATATCCCCTGTAATGTAAAGAAGTTACTTAACCTTACCTCCTACTACTAAGTACCATAATATTTTGATTAATAAGCAGAATATTGAACATTTAGAAATAGTACTCAGACCCACTTATAGGTCGACATAGAAGACTGTTTTAAGTGGACCCTAGACCAAGAAAGGTATCTGTAGCAGGTCAGTATACCAATGCCGACACTAAATCATAAAACTCAGTAGATCCAATGGAAGATTCTGTAGAAGAAAAAGATAACCTACAGAGTCTCTGGATAACCCAGTAGGAGAATCACAATCTCCTAAGGTACTGAAACCATGTCATGTCATCAAAGAAAAAACAAAACAAAAACAAGTCACCTTTAAAAAAACAAAAGCTCTTGGTGTGCAATGGGCCTCTGTCAGAGACTGATAATCTATTTATGGACCACAAAGTAACAGTGCATTATGTTGTCTAGTCAGTTCTGACCCATAACAACCCTACGCACATCAGAATGAAACACTGCCTGACCTTGCACTATCCTCACTGTTGTGCATAATGAGCTGTGTACTATTAGACCCACCAAATTACAAAGTCAAGAGCATCTAGCAGCAATCCAATGTACAACAGTAATGGTATATCTGGGATCAGGTGCCAGCCACTCAAGAGGACACAAAATGGTCTGGACCTACATTTTATATGGCACTGTTACACTGACACCTCTCCTTCAGCTCATATCTTCCCTTGTTGAGAGGGCCCTATGACTAAAGTTCAAGTTCAGTTTATGAGTGGGTTGCCTCAGTGTTGGTATAAACTAGCCTCACTCAGGTCTGGTCATGAAGGATGGTGGTAAAGAATACTAGTATTGGATAAGCTTTGGAGTAATGGACCTGGGAATTCTACTTTGTGTGGAGAAAATGGTCAAGTAAGAAAATAAATTAACTCATGAGCAATGGAAAATGGTTTGACTTATTGGTCAGAGGCTTGGAAGATTCAAGACAGGAGGATTGGGGTCAGGAAATTCTGGGCCAGAAGCATTCTTAGCTTTGGAACAACCTATTGATGGCACAGCTGAGGTGTAGTTTGGAAATGGCATCTTCTGAAGATGAGGGCATCATTTTTCAGAATGAAGCTGTGTTCCCAGTAGGTTGATGAATAAGTCCAAGAAACAAGGAATAGACGTTACCATCATTCCCACTTAGCATCATTCCTACAGACTCACTTGAAAAATGTATGCTTCCTAATCCCAGCCATTTTAGAGCCCAGGGTCCCAGAACAGAGATGCAATAAAATGTAGTAAGAGTTCATCAAACCTATAGCGGCCCCCGGTAGACCAGCAGCTATAGAAAGGAATTACCTAATTGGCATATTTAATATTAATCTTTATCATATTTTATTAATATTAATTTAATATTAATATCATTCCCAATAATCATGAGGTACTTAAGATTTCTTTATGTAAAAGAGACATCCCATGCCCTATATTAATGATGAATCAGTAACTATGCCATAAATGATCTGATAAGGACCTAATAATCAAGCCAAACCCCTCAGAGATGAACCACCTACTAGAAAAGGTACTTATACCAGTAGAATAGTTTAGTATAGAATAGATGTTGTTATTGTTAAGTGCCATTGAGTCTGTCCCAACCCATAGAGATCCTATATAGGGTTACCAAGGAGCGGCTGGCAGTCCAGCACATTAACGCACAGCACCACACTAGGACCACTCCATGGTATAGAATAGATGATAGAAGTGATTAATAAGCATCAGTTATGGCCTTGAGACCAAATGCCATAGGAAAAATTCTAGCTTAACTCACTACCATTCTTTTGTAAGGTTTCCCAGAAATTATAACCAAAGGAATCCTGGAGAAGTTGTGCTGGAAAGAAGTGACTAATTTAAAAACAAACAAAACCCAAGTGAATCTGAATGGTGCTGATTCAGATAAACAATAAGGGATGGACTGTATTGTATGCGTTTGGAGCGTCATCCCCAGAACCCTCTTCACCAAGCAGGCAAGCAGATGTACTCATTTCCCAACTGGTGATAGTGCTGAATGCTATAAGCTCTCAACTGCCTTCTCTGTTGAACTGTCCTCAGATGAACTGGAATTGCTTTATCTGGAGAATACATACTACTGCCCTCCATACCTCTTTGTACCTGTGTACCTTAAGTAATACACAGGTACAAAAAGGTAACCCCTCATGCTAAGATGGAACCAACTATTGTATGCTTTAGAGAACCCAGTAGTAGCAGCCTGAAACTAGTCTCTGAATGAGACCACATCCTCTCTTAGCTTTCTTCTCTTGCCCTATCTTGTTTCCTTCACTTCTATTCTTCTAAGAGTAGATCCTCAAGAAATCATTTACACAGACTATACTAGGAAACTATACTATAAAAAAAAAAATTTTTGTTTGCTGACCAGTAAAACTTTTCTATCATTTTCTACAGTGTGTGTAGGTATTGTGTTTGCTTCAGTAGTCTTACTATCCTAAGATTACAAAAAGATCTTTCAAAATTTTGTCTAATAGTTTTGTACTTTCCATTTCTAAATATTTTTCTATTTAATCCATCTGGAATTTATTTTTTATTATGATAAAATCTTCTTTATTTTTCTCCCTCCATCCCATTCTCTGTCTATTCATTTTCATTTATCACACTGTTGAAATTTGTTTCTATTTATATCTGGAAGAACAACTTCCCTTTCATTGTTTTCATGTCTGCATTCCCTCACCAAACTGAGCAGAAACAGAGTTTTGCTCGTCTTTCTGCTCCCTATAAAGCCTACCTAGCACTAGTGACTAATAGAGAAAACTCTGTAAATCTTCTAATAAAATTGAACAGGTTTAGAAAGGTGAATCATTCAGCGTTCCTCCCACAAAGCACTTAGGTCACCATATTCTTAAATTGGGTACAAGGCTGGTCCTAAGACCAGGTCATTACTTAATGCTTCTAAGGATGTTTAATACTCCATCCTCTCAGTGCTGGCCTCCAGATAAAGAAGCATATTACCTGATGTGGGAGGTCTTGAATTGTTCCTTATCATTGACTTTCCATCCACAAATGAATTAGCTGTTAAAGCTAGAAAATATTTAAATAAGAGTAAATGAAATCAACTTTATGTTCTCAAATGGAATGAAAAATCATAATACAAAAAACCAAAGACATAACAGAAAAGTCAGTTAATCAAAACTAATATTCCATGACCATCTTGCAAATTACAAATGAGAAGTATGCCATCATTATGAAAACAGCATGCAAACATTTAAATATTACATGTATATATTTTCCATTATGAAATACATTGTTTTTTCTTAATTCATGATTTTTTATTTGCCACTTTTGATTTGTACATTGAATACCTGAATATATTCTTATTTTAAAGCATGCAATTGTAGACAAAGCTGAAGCTTCCTTGATCTACCTGTTCTCTTCTTCCATTTGCAAAGCTAGCCATTATTTCAAACCAGACAGCCAAACCCACTGTCATCTAGTTGATTCCAACTTACACTGATTCAATAGGACAGAGCAGAATTACTTGGTAGGGTTTCCAAGGTTATAAATATTTATTGAAGCAGATCACCTCATCTTTCTCCCATGGAGTGACTGGTGGTTTTGAAACAATGATTTTTTGGTTGGCCACCCAACACTTAGCTCAATGTGCCACCAGGACTCCATTACAGCAATTTGGTCTAAATCAATCTTTAGAGTTTATTTTGTTGATTAAAATATAAATGCACATATGCATTTACATATAAATACCCATCTGTAGACAAGCATCCTTAGAAAAATTTGTCATATTAACTTGTGGGTTTCTTCCACTAGTAAATAGTGCCTTGCTGTTTGTGTGATTCTGAAATTCATTTTGTCTTCCTTTCCTTAAACAGTGCCTTTTTCAGTTTTAAAATCAATTTTAATGATGTACAATTTATATGCAATACAATGCATGCATTTTAAATGTATAGTTTGATTGATTTTGACATATGTATAAATACCACCACAGTCAAGTTGTAGAAAATTTCCATGATCACAGAAAGTTCCCTGTGGCTCTTTGCAATCAGCTCCTGGACCCACTGATGTATTTTCTGCTACTAAAAATTTGATTGGGCTTTTCTAGAAATTTATATAAACAGTATCATATAATATGTACTCTTTTATAGATGATTTTTTCCAAAGTGTTTTTGAGATCTATGATGTTGAATGTATGAATAGTTTTTGTTTTGTTTTTTAATTCCAAATAACATTCTATTATATGGATATACTATATTTTATCTACTCACCATTTATGGACATTTGGATGATCTTCAATTTTAGGTTATTATGAATAAAGCTCTTATGAACATTTTGAACTTTAACATACACACTTTTGTGTAGATATGTTTTCATTTATCTTGTGTGAATATCTACGAGTACAATTGCTGGGTCATAGATAATTTTATGTTTAACTTATAAGAAATTGCCAAATTGTTTTTCACAGTTGTTATACTATTTTACATTCACACTAACAGTTGGAATTATTATTACAGTTGCTTCACATCCTATCACTCATCTGTCAATTTGTTATACTATGGTTATTTATGTGTTCCTGTGATGATGGAAGCTATGCCAACAGTATTTTAAACAGCAGCAGGGTACACCCATGGTGGACAGGTTTCAGCTGAGCTTCCAGACTAAGACAGACTAGGAAGGAAAAAGGAGGGGTGGACAACTTCTGAATTCTGAGCTACTGAAAACCTAATGAATAATAGTGGAACACAATCAGATAGCACCAGAATGTTGAATATTGAAACTTAATGACTAGCAGCAGAATATTGTCAGTGCACCAGAATATAGTGCTGTAAGATGAGTCCCTCTATTGGAAGCCTTGAAAATATGAATGGAAGAACAAATTAGATTGACAATGATATGCAGATGATAGAACCTTGCTTGCTGAAAGTGAAGAGGACTTAAGATACTTATTGAGGAAGATCAAAGACCACAGCCTTCAGTATGGATTGCATCTCAATGTAAAGAAAACACATATCCTCACCACTGGACCAATGAACAACGTTTTATCAATGGAGAGAAGATTGATCTTGTCAAAGACTTCATTTTTCTTAGATTGACCATCAACACTCATGGAAGCAGCAGTCAAGAAATCAAATGGCATATTGTATTAGGTAAATCTGCTACACAAGACCTTTTTAAAATGTTGAAGAGCAAAGATGTCAGCTTGAGGACTAAGGTGCACCTGACCCAAGCCATGGTATTTTCAATCACCTCATATGCATGCGAAAGCTGGACAGTGAATAAGGAAGACCATAGAAGAATTGATTCTTTTGAGTTGTGGTGTTGGAGGAGAATATTGAAAGTGCCATGGGCTGCCAAAAGAACCAACAGATTAGTGGAGAATGAAGTGTTGATAAGAAGAGAGGCCTGATTCAAGCCATGGTATTTTCAATAACCTTATATGCATGCAAAAGTTGGATAATGAATAAGGAAGATCATAGAATATGCATTTGAGTTATGGTGTTGGAGGAGAATATTGAAAGTACCTTGGGCTGCCAAAAGAACAAATAGATCTGTGTTGGAAGACCCTTGGAGGCCAGGATGGCCAGACTTCATCTCTCATACTTCAGACATATTGTAAGGAGGGACCAGTCACTGGAGAGGGATATCATGTTTGGTAAGGTGAAAGGTCAAAGAAAAATAGTAAGTCCCTCAGTGAGATGGATTGGCAAAGTGGCAGCATCAATGGGCTCAAATATGGCAACAATTGTGAGGCTAGCCCAGGACTGAGCAGTGTTTCCTTCTGTTGTGCATAGAGTCGCTATGAGTAAGCACTGACTTGATGGCATCTAACAACAACAACATGATGATGCAAAAGTAAAAAAGTTTGGGGGACCTTCATTTGCTGATGGCTCACAACTAAAAATGAAGAAAACAGCTGTAAACATTCATTAATAATTGCAACATGGAAGTATAAATCTAGAAAAATTGGAGGATGTAAAACATGAAATGGAATGCATAAAGATCAATATCCTAGACATTATTGTGCTTAAATATGCTATTGGCTGTTTTGAATCTGACAAACATATGGCTTATTATGTTGGGAATGACAAATTGAAAAGAATTAGAATCACATTCATCATCAAAAAGAACATTTCAAGATCTATCTTGAAATATAATTCTGTCTGTGACAGATTAATATCCATATACCTACAACAAAGACTAGTTAATACTACTATCATCCAAATTAACGTACCAACCATTAAAGTCAGTGATGATGAAAATGAAGACTTCTACCACCTTCTTCAGTCTGAAATTGATCAAATCTGTAATCAATATGTTCTGATATTTACTGGTGATTGGAATGCAAAGGTTGGAAACAAAGAAGAAGTATCCGTCATTGGAAAATATGGTCTTGGTGATAGAAACATGCTGGAGCCTGCATGATGGAATTTTGCACATACGATTTTTAAACAGCATAAAAGATGGCTATACACATGGGTCTCACAAGATGGAATACACAGAAATCAATTTGACTACATCTGTGGGAATAGACGGTGGAAAAAACTCCATATAATCAGCCAAAACAAGGCCAGGGGCAGGAACTGACCATCACTGCTCATATGCAAATTCAGTCTGAAGCTCAAGAAAATTAAGACACATTCACATGAGAAAAAATATGGTCTTGAACATATCCCACCTGAATTTATTGATCATCTCAAGAACACATTTGATGCATTAGACACTAATAATGGAAGATCAAAGGAATTGTAAAATGACATCAAGAACATCATACAAGAAGAAGCAAAAGGTCATTGTGAGAAGAAAAAAAAAAGAAGCAAAATACCAAAATGGATGTATAAGAGACTCTTAAACTTGCTCTGCAGTATAGAGAAACTAACACAAAAGGAAGAAATGAGAAGGTGAAAGAGCTGAATAGAAAGTTTCAGAGAGCATCTTGAAAAGATAAAGTCTTTACCTTTGTACTTTCAATGCATTCTCTATTTTTGACATCTTAATGCTAATTTTCTGAATTTCTATTTGCTGTATTTGAATTGTTTCTAATTTTTTCATTTGTTTTATAAGTTTGTTCTTATAGTGATTTTCTGAATTCTTTTCAAGTTTTGTCTTTGTTTGCCTTGATTTTGTCTATAGCTTTCTCAAACTTTCTCTCAAGTCACTGAAAGTACCTAAATATCCTTCCTTTGATTTCCTTATCAAATATTTCTAAATGCCATTTCTTTCTCAGAAAGGTTTTCTTTTTCTATATTTTGGTTATTTGTTTGAGCCACTCTGTATTGTTTCTTCATGTGAACTAAAATTGTCTGTTGTCTCCAAGACATTGTGGTGATGTCTTTAATTAGTGATTGTATGTTAGTGTGTTCTTAAACACTCATCGTGTGTGTGTAATAGAGAATGAGAGAGTGTGTATAGTTCTTTGTTCATTGTTCTTGTTGTGCAATTGAGGGTAGGCTTGTTGGCTGCTGCCCATCATTGATCAGGGGACACAAAGCAAGTAGTGACCCTTGCTTCATCAGTAGGTTTATAAGAGGTTTGAGTCTGCAAGGGGTAGCTAGGCCATTTGGGCATAGTTATTGTCTCTCACAAGGTAGGATAAGAAAAAACAAAGAAGGAAAACAAGCAAGTAACAACAAGAATAAGTAATTTATTAACTGAATAAAAAAGGAAAAGGAAAATAAAAACAAGGAAGAAAAGAAAGAAAAACTAAAATGAAAAAAAAAAACCACTCAATAAACAAAACTAGAAAAGAGAAAAAGAAAAGGGAATAGTAAATGAAAACTAAAAGAAAAAGAAGGGAAAGGGGAATGGAAATAAGAAACAGAAGAAAAGAATTAAAAAAGGGAAGCAGAGAAAGAAAGGATAAAACAAGGGAAAAATAAAAAAAGGAAATAAAAATATTGGATGGGGTGCAAGGTCAAGAAAGGAGAAAATTGTGGGAATAGGGCATTTAGTGCAGGCCAGCACCCTTTGTCAGCCAAAAGGGTTATGGCATGAGAGGGAAGAGTAAGACACCCTGATTAGAGATGAATTTCCAGCCTGTCTAGGGTCAGAATGCCTGATCTAGAAGGAGT